ATAGTCTAATAAGAAAATTGAAAGTCTATTAGAATTTTCTCTTTTCTGAATATCCAATTTATCTATAGATTTGTTGATTCTTACAGACCATAATCTGCTACATGCGAGAGAAGGAAAGAAAAATATCCGAATAAGTCGCTCACTGTGGTGTTTCTGTCTTTTTGTTCAGTTTTTGTTAGCGATATATTTACTTAAAGTCCTGATCTTTGTCGGAAAGTATCTTTAATAGTTTTCTTGTTTGATATTTGTTTCTCGATGGTTTTTTTTACTAAGATTTTTTGCCGCTTACATACTCTTCATGGTTGACAAGTTCAAAACAACAGTGAACAACGATTATTTGTTCTAATGATTTTACTGGTTTTTCTCTTTCAACACTAGGGTGTAGTTCAACAGGATGATAGTACACACCCACACACCAGCTCGCACACATATCCATCACAATACAGTAGGCTTTCTTGCAGCAGCTGTTCGATGAAACATCTTTCAACTACTTCATTTTAAAAAAATTTCTACCATTTTTTACGAAAAATATAGAAAAAATTATTCAGAAAACTCAAAGATTATTTTTTCTTAATACTTTTATAAAAATGTATCATCAAATGATACACTTGAATATTATCATTAAAATGCTTTTTTCTTGATTCTACTTTCCCATTAAAGTTAGCTTTAGTATACTTTCATAACAAAATATTAGTTTATTTTTTTTTGTTGTTTTAATAATGAAATGCCAGTTCATTTATTTCGAATATCAGAGAACTATAAACTTCTTTCCTAGAAAATTACAATTATCTGCTATCATCTTTTATGTATTTTCTTATTAGTTGAGTTTATTCATTCAAGTACAAATTGCTCGATCAATTTCTAAAGAATCTTTCATTTAATTTTCTATACCAAAGTCAACTGATCTAAAGTCAGTGGTTACATGAAGATGATGACTTGAGTACTTTATTTCCGTAAACTGTGTTTTTAGATTAAGGTAAAAGAGTCGAGTCAGTGTATCTTTTCAATTTCATAAAATAACAGATGAATTTCTTGTTTTGAGTGAATATTTACACATATCTACTAGTTTAGTGATCTTTACCTATGTAAGGTGCAGTCAAAGTATAGATATTTGAAATTGCAGCTACTTTAATTAACATTGGGTATTATCATCTTTCTAATTAAGATTCAATTGAAACTATACAAATACAATATAGAATACAAAGAGAGAAGAGAAATAGGTTTTGTTCTGAAGATGTCTGCTCTAGCTTTCTGAATTGAATAGACTTCGTTCATTTCTATCGAATTCTATCTAGTCAATTAGAAATATATTAGAGGAGACAAGCTACTATTATGGAGTGATGAGTAATGGAAACTTAATCTATTCGATTTATCCTTGATTGTTTTCCTCCCCTAAAATCATTCATAAAGGTGTCTAAGAAATCGTTAATTGTAGAAAATATGTTTTCTTTCGTAATAAAATCCAATTTACAGAATTTTCAGTTACACATTGAGATCAATTGACTGAAAAACGTTCTATCGAAAAGATAACTTTATATGATTCAATCAGAAACTATTTCAAGCATAAAACAAAAAAAAAAGTATGAAAAATAAAGATTACTAATTTGTAAAGGAATAAAAGTCTACTCATCAACACCAACTCAATTAATTTGCCACATTCTCATATTACATCATTCAGAGATGAGCGGATTTCATTCTTAATTCTTAAATCTAACCTGAACCGAACGGACAAAAGATTTATTTTAAAAATTCTTTTCAAAATAATTGCAACTGATAGTTTTTAAATGCAATACATTCGTTTCCTACTAAATGGTTGTCATCGAAACTCGTGCTCCAATAATAAAAAATTTTCTATAAGAAGAGATCTCTTTACATGTAGGATGTGGGTGTGAGATGTGAGTATACCGGTCACAAAAGGAAAGACATATATCAACAGCCACGCCCTCTTTTCATCCATGCATAGAACTATCGCATTACATGCATCTTACTTTTGTGTTACATTCCTTAACGTAAGTAAATATTTAACTATCTAAGTTTTTAATGCTATAATTTTTTCGTATGAGTTCATGCACAGCTTTCTTGCTAGTTCAATTTTTCACTCGATCGCATAAAATATTTTTTTATGCTAACGCTCTAACCATTGTTATTCTGGATTTCTCATTGTGAAAAGGAAACCCTCTGTCTGAGTTCATTTAAAGTGTACTGTTAAAGGTAAGATAAAATTTTATTTTTCAACAATGCTGATTATAAGCTATTAACATATAATACGTTTTTATACATCATTTATGAGTTATGCACATTAGCAGGTATAAGCTCAAGAGAATATAGCAAGATTTCATGATATACTATGAAAAAAAAACACAAGCTTCTCTGATATATAGATAGTCAAAATTCATTTTCTAACAAACAGAGATCTAAATATATAATTTCATATAGGCCGGGACTAATCGATGTTAAAATATTGGACTGCCATATTTGTAAAAAGTTCCAGAAAAAAGTTAACAAAAGCAAATGTATCTAAATTTTAGAGATCATATTTCAGCAGAATATAAGATGATTGAATTCGAATTTGGATTAATTCTTCCAAAGAACTTCGTATCAAATATCTGAAATTGGACATACATAAAAAGAATATGTATTTATCTAGCATAGGCACTATCCTAAAAATGTTATTTTTCTAGCTATATTCCTATGGATTCTGATGTCAAAACAGTTTACATTATGATATTGAATGTTGTCCTATTTTTAAGATAGTGAATAGATTTTTTTCTGCTAATATTGTTCTCATTCAATGAAGTTACCAACTAAGTACAATTCATTTTCAATAATAGTTTCAATATTAAGTTTAAAAGAAAAGCTTTTCTATCTGTCTATATTCAAATAAATATCGTTTTTCTTTATTTTAAAATATTTCAATCATTAAAATTATATTATTAAAGTTACTTTTCTTTTTTTTGTTTTTGAGTGAAATCAAGGAATGGGGACAAAGAAACATTCCGATTTCTCGCTCATTACGGTCAATGCGCAATTATGTAGTCACACTAACAGAGAATATTTATGTACTCTTGCATAAATCAATAGATTCTATTTAATTCCATTAGTTTCATTATTTGCAAAATAATCACAAAAAAGAAACATAATCAATTTTCTGTTGTGTATTCTGCATTTCTTGCAACAAAAACTACAAAATAAGAATAAAGTATAGTTCAGCGTGTGTATAGTCTTTCTTGAATAATTACATGAAAATTCAGCTTTACAATGGAAAAAAATATCGAGTTTCAATATTTTATTAATGAATGAGAGCATTTTTTCTACCCTCATTATTCCATATACTATATCAAACTTGAAACTTGAAGACTCAATTGAATTCAAGTTTCAAGCTTGACACTTCTATTTATTTCGAATGAATTCAAAATAGTTTATTTGTTGCGTCTTCGTCTTTCGCTGAATCAACATCAATAAAGTATATTTTTTAAACTACTAAGCATGTATCGTTTCTCTTCTTTTTAGCAATTATCTTTAACGTTACTAACTAAGCGAGAATGTACATTAGAAGAACACTTTATGTCCTATCGTAGAAAAAAACAATTTCTTAACAAATTGTTATAAAATTTGAATAGAAAGTTGCTTTGATCCTACTATAATGTTTTATTTGTAAGTCGTACGATATTCATATGATGTTACAGCTAACTTTTATATTTTATGGTAATATAATATGATTACCGATGTAGTGCAGCATAACCAATTCCTATTGGAATTGAATCAATACCAAAACGATGATCACGTGATAAAACAAGTTGAAAATGAGGTGTAGCTACTTGAGATGAAATCTATTTAAATAAATATAACAAAAGAAAAAAGATAATATTAATTAAATGATTAAAATAACTTTAATTACTTACCAAATGTGATAAATAATTGGCAAGTGATGAACCAAATCGAGCATTTATATAATTTTAATTATCTTTTTGTTTCTTGTTTCATTATTTCAACAGTATTTTCCTGTACATTTCCAGCTGGTACAAGTTCTAAACACTCATCTCTTACACCAATTTTTTCACGTCGATAGGTAAAAATTTCTTGTAAATGAAACGTATTTCCCCAACCACGTACAAATGATTGAGTTAATATAAAACATCGAAAGAGATTATCGAAATTCATCATTTCAATCGTACTCGAATCTTTAATATCATCCAGAGAATTGTTAATTTCATCTTCTTTTTCTTTAATCGAACAAAAAACAGGACAATACAATGCTTTAGTATTCTCAATAGTTTATAAACACACACATATATACAAAAAAAACTCTTATATGTCCTTTTTATTTTCCTAAATCAATCTCGTTAGTTTACTATGAAAACAAAGAACAATATTTTTATTGCATAGCACCAGTAATGTTAAGTAATATTTGAGGACCATGTGGTAAATAGACGCTATTTCTTGATTTTGATAATTGATTTGCAATATCTTCAGTGGCTTCAATTCGTCGAAGTTCGATCAAATCTAACATGAATATTAAAACAAAGTTAGACAGGATAATAAAAGATATTCGAAAATTTACCATCATCAGCTTCATCTAAAACTTTGCCAATCAAATCAGCTGCACGAGTATCACCTTCTGCTGCAATAACATTTGCTCGACGACTTTGTTCCGTCTGTTTTTTTTTATCAAAAAAAAACAAACTCATACAAATTTTATTCTTATCGATTTACTTTTTCAACTAAAAACCGTTGTTTTCCAACATCTTGTTGTGCAACTTGTTTTAATTCAACAGCACTTGTGAATTCAGGTCTAAAACTTAAATGTGTCTAATTTAAAGAAAAAAAACAATATAATCAACTCGAGACTCTTTTTTATCGTATCTTATAATTGAAATATCATCAAGTAATAAACCAAATTGAGCAGCACGTTCTGTTAATAATTCATTATTACGTTGCGAAATAAGTGTGCGTTGTGTAATCAATTCAATAGCATCAAATTGAGACTTAGTACAACAGATTTTAAAACTTCATTAATAATCGATGGTAAAACACGTTCTTCATAATCTAAACCCAAATTTGCAAAAAAATTTTTGGTGAAAGTTCAGCTCTTGGTCGATAAAGAATACGTAATGTTATATTAATTGTTTGTAAATCTAAAATAAAAATAATAAAATGTAATTTATGCATATTTCATGTATACGAAGAAAAAATAACGGAGACTTCCGGTTTTAAGTTTTATGAAGTATCCTAAGATTGGTGAATGATGAGAGTGTAGAGGTGTAAACCGATCAGTTGAGTCGCCATCAATGACCGCAAAATTTTTTAAGATACCTCAGCCATATACATTCATTGATGTTTTAATAGACATCGTATTTACCTTTCTTTTTTCGCGAGCTTACATTTTCCTCATGTTCACCTCTCTCCTGAAGTTGACTGTTCTCTTCTAGCTTTTATATCTTTTATTTCTGTTATTGATGGAACAGATCGTGGTCGTGTACGAATATCAAATATAATTGGTCTATGAAGCCATGAAATCATAAAATGAGTTCCTTCTTCAATAACATCTAGTTTAACACTTTGAAAATGATAAAAAAAAAACCTCTTGATGACCATCATCAACTAGAATATGTTTAAATTTAAAGAAAACAAGGTTTTTTTAATTTTTTCATTACTTACCATTATAAAGCATAGAATTAATCACACCACCACCAATACCTAAACCAATATCAATTCTTCCTAAAACACTAAATTCTTCTATCGAAATAAAATATTATCTCAATATCTTACCAATATTATTAAATAAACGAGATGAATTTATTAGCAAATAGTTCCAGAAACAAAACGAAACCATATGAAAATTCTTCATATCTCTATCGATAGAAAAAGAAAATGCATCACTATTTAATCTATCTATCTACTACAATAACAAACCAATGTAATAAAATACATAGAAAATGATTAAATAACAATAAACTTTGAAAGCAAAAAAAAATACATACATACTTTTACATAAATCGAAATCCACTTGAAAAAATATGAGCACCGTTCAGATATTGTTCACCATTGGGTTTTAATGAATTTGATGTATCACTGTTCTTTGCTACTGCAGCAGCAATTGCTTCGAATGCTGGAACATTCTATAAAGAAATTATTTATATCATAGGAAAAAAAAATGTTTTTCAATTACTATAATTTGATTTTGTTGGAAAAAATTGTTGTGGAAATGATGCACCACCAACACGAAAATCTTCAAGATTTTTATAGTTTTTTAAAATTTCTTCAAGTTTTCGATTGATTTTTGGTTTTTGTCGAGAATATTTTAAAAATGCCCAGAATTTTTCTAAACCATATAATTGACCTAAATAGAAAAATTATTTTTGTTATTGACACTTTTCTTTTCTTTTTTTGTTTAATCTATTTTATTACCAGCTTCATGATCACAAAGAGTTTCTTGTTGAAAATCTTCAAATACATGTTGATAAAAATGTTTTTCTATGCCATATGTATAAAATCGAAATAGATATTCAACATCATATCTATACATAAATAGTAATATTCAATTCTTTTCTCATTATTTTTCATAAAAACAATTCATTTATATCCCGATGATCAGTTTTAGTATCGTCAACAGCATATTGTTTAAATTCATTGTACATATGACGATTAACATTTTCACATAAGAAAAATGACTAAAAACGATAGAGTGTATTCATTTCCATTGATTGACCAGGACCAAGTTTAACACGTACTAGAAATTAGATCATTACAGAAAACAAAATGTATCTTATTTGTAAATCAACATAACTTTAGATTATAAATATTTTCTATGAAATAATAAAGTTTGACGATTAGTGAAACTTAGTGTTTTTAATCATTGACGATTATTTTATTGCTTTTCAAATTTATCATGCAGATAAGAATGATAGTATTTATTAAAAAAACTCCATAAAAGAGTAAAATCTTTGTTTTTTTTTTGAAAATTATAGCGACAGACATATTCTCAATTAGCTATTTAAATCAGAGTATAAGTATTTTTAGACTCTGATTTTTACTGGAGAGTAGTTTCCACTGTTGTTTTTAGATACGTTGACTGTTTTTTATTCATTAAGAGACTCGTTTTCTTTACGTTCAATGTAAAATAATTTCAATTTTTTTTTATCAGTAGCTTGTTTCTCTCGAAATATTGTAAATATGTACTGAACTAATAATCTGTTTTTTCTCTACAATCAACGTTTTTTTTTTACCATCAAGACATTCTTGTTTATATTTAAGATAAACTTGTTGAATAAAACCATTTTGTTGTAAAAGTGTATGAGATGAATGTTGAACCATAAAAATCATATGAATTTGAATTATTTCCATGCCAATAATGTGAATCATTGTATGATGATGAATGATTGATCATAGAAATCTTGTTGTCGAGTTCTAAATAAGTAAAACTCATTCTATACTAATAATAATTGACATTCAATTGTTTGTATTAGGGACAAAAAATAAGAGAAAATTCGTCAAAACAAAATGAAGCAACACAAGGTATTTTTTACTATATCCATTTATCTTACCCGTATTGAACGATAAGAAAGATGATCTTATTATCTGCAATAAGTAAAGTGAAAGCAAAACGTTTAGAAATGCAGTATTTTTGACTTCTTTTCTTAACGATAATAACTACTATCCATTTCAAAATATATTGTGCTCCGTTGTTTTTTAAATAACTTTTGATAGGAATATTACAGAGACCTGCGGTTTTTACCATTTAAAAGAGAAGATCCAAAGCAATCGAAATATATCAAAATTTCATTAGCTAATTGGATCAGTTCTTGGCGAGAATTTTGGAAGGTTTCGGATCATCTCTCTTGAATGGTGAAAGCCGAAGATCTCTATGATGTTCCTATCAAAAGTTATTCAAAAAAAAACAATGGGGCACATTATATTTTGAAATGAGAAGTAGAACAAATCAAAGAATCATTAAAACATTTTTTTTTAAATTGGCATCAGCTGTTTCTAATTTTCGTTGAGCTTTTTCATAATTATCTCTTAGTTCAGTCATTGTTTGACGAACAGTTGACTTATATTAAAAATGAATCAATAAATAAGCAAATACTTGTTTATCTCTAGCTTGTTCAATCATTTTTTTAAATTGTTCAAGCCATCCTTTTCATTTTGAATCAATAAAGTCATGTATTTGAATTAAATCATCAACTGTTTGATTTAAAATCGATAAAGTACCATTTGTTCTATATGGAGAACGATAACAACGTGCAACATCAATCAAACGAAATTCTTTCAATGATTTTGATACATCCTTATCAATACTTTTATTTAACTTACAAAATCTTTATCTGTTTTCCAAAGATCAGACAATACTTTACAAGAATCTGGAACATAACGAACTCGATTGTATTAATCAGGTACATCATCACATCTATATTAATAAATATAAAGAAACAAAATATTTTCATTTTTTATTTTCGAATTTTGTTTGTTTAACCATATCGATAAATATCCTATTCAAATAAATTTATTTTCAAAACGTTTTTATAAGGATCGATTAAATTTATTTCCTTAGAAATTTTTAATCGATAATTCGAACTATTTTATCATTATTCCGTCTTATAGAATGTTTCTATCTAGCAGTTAAAAACAGATTTTCGATAAAACACATTCGAATCAGATGAAATATTAATCATTTGTTAGCGATCGTTCAGTGGAGAGAAATAAATTGTGTCAAAACTGTTCAGGTCAATATAATGTTTCTAGAATAGATTATTAAAATAATAAATAATCTTCGTTGTCAATCTTTATATATAATAAGATAATCAATATAGATTCATCTAGAAATCGATTTATATAATAAATAACGAATTTTGGACCAAATGCAAGGAGATAGTTAACCATTTAAATTAGCTTTGAAAAAACAATAATAAAGATTTAATATGAAAGTTTGGTTTTTTTAATTCTACGAATATGAAAACCATTCTTTCAATCCATTTAAATAATATAAAACGTTTGGTTAAATTTGAAAAATTCGTTTTAACAATTTGAATACTCTTCAAAACAAATGATATTTTATTTCTAAATAAAGAGTTTTTTTTAATGAAAAACAATAATATATAATTATTATCTTATCTCGACAATAATAACATAAAATAATTTCTTTATAAAACTATAGAAAGATTTTTAACAAAAAAACACCAACAAAGGGTTAACTCAATTAAATTAAAATAAATAAATTGAATAAAATCTTATTTCTATCAATATTAGTCTAACCATTGAAATGATTTATTATATTAATATAAGATTTCATTATTTATTTAAGAGTTTTATTTATTTCAATAAATATCTTCCGTTCGTGTAATATATGTTAAATCAATCGAGTTATTTCGATTTCCATTGAAAATAATTCTTTGAATATATTATATCTTTCGAATATAATTTATCAGTTTTTATTTCCCCTCATTTCAATATTAAAAAACTATTTTATTAAATCGAAATAAACCAAACATAAATAAAGATAATAAATGAGACTTATTTTTATTTTTAAATAGAATATATCAATTCTATATATTATTTTATTTTTGAATCGCTAATATAAATAAATCTATTAATATTATAATATAACCATATTCAATAGAATTACAATTATAATAAAAAAACAAGAGAAACATCTTATTATATAAATCGATTATTTAAAATGTTAATTAAAGTAAATATATATATATTGAAAAAAAACTTATATAGAATAAGTTGTTGTTTTTTTATTTAAATTAAAAAATGAAAATCTCATCCAAGAATACGCTGCAAGATTTGATCGTTGTTCGGAATTTGATCAATTATCATCAGATAAATAAGTCTGATTTGCTAATCTTTCAATAAGAGAATTCTTTCTATTAAATGATGTCATGCGCACTCTTTTTTTTCAATATTATAATTATATAACGAAACGACGAAAAAGAACAGAGAACCCTTCGATAATCAATTCTTTACCAAATATTCGAATATAATATAAACAAATCATTTTCTAATAGAGATATTTTATTTCTAACAGTTAACTATTTATAAAGATAACCTTTTACTTTTTTAAACAATTAACCATTTACATTGAAATAAAATCTTCTATTTTACATCGAATTATCTTTTAGTTTCATTGAGAAATTTTTTTTCGATTAAAATATTCTAATAAGATATAATATATGTAAAATCTCGTTTCGATCTTCAAAGATGAGACAACTATCAATCTCGACATTTTTTGATTAGGATTCAATATTATTCTATAGTCACAATTTTATCTCGAAAATAAAATAAAATCAGTTTACCCGATTTTCAATAAGTATGGATTCCTTATTCAATATTAAAATTTATATCTATTTGTTTGTTTTATTTCGCTTTAGACAATTGAACAATTTTCTGCTGAAACAAATCGAACAACATTTAGTATTACTTGATAAAATAATCGAAATTGAATTATGATAAGCACAAAATCGTTTTCAATCACGACGACAAACACTAAAGTTATCATGAATTCTTCGTTTTGTTTTTTATTGCTGTTTGATTAATTCTATGATAATATTAACAAAATACAACGCATTCTTCCCTTTTCTTTGAAAGAGATCGAGATAGAGAAAATTGATATTAATGTATATAAAGATAAAAAAAGTGAATTTAATTTAGGTTTTTTTTTCTCTTAATCATGAAGTTGGTAAAGTCAATGCAACACCATGTTTTATTTAACGTTATTTTAATTGATTTGTTGATAAATAAATAGGCATAACAAAATTTGTTGAATGACTCGTTGTTGAAAGTATGTCACGTCGTTCACTTGTTTTATATACTGAACATTCATATGTCCCATCGGTATTTAATTCATTTGTTTTTATGTGTCATATATATGTATATATATATTTTTTGTCTTTCTCTCGTCCATAAATCATTGTTCATGTTGTTGTTATCATTGACGATCAATGATCAACATGCACAATGAAATATGTATATCAATTAACCTTTTTGAAATGAACTTTTAATTCATTTTCGACGAGAGAAAAAAAAATGATTTTTCAGCGTATATATACGAATGATTTTCTATGTAAAATCATTCAAATTTTTGAATCAAATAATAATCATTTTTCTTTTTCTATTTTAGATTGACCTCAATGATACAAAATTAATCAAATTAAGATGAAGCCATACAATAAAAAAAAATGTAGGTATCAGTTTTTATTTTTTATTTTTTTATTTAACGATTATAAGGATGGTGAAGTAAGACCTCCTATAATCTTTTTAATTTATTTTTTTTTCTTTTGTCTTAGGTTCGATGAATATTTTCAACTATGACAAGGTAACAGTGGGGTAAGTTAACTCATTCTTTTTTTTTGTCATTATATAACATTAAACTAATTTTTCTTTTTAGATAGTCATCGTCGTGCATTCAATATCAATTAATAGAATTGTAAGTATAGATTTCTTTATAGTTAGTGAGATAGATAAGGTATGAGTGAGAGTGAGGATAGGGCTATTCTAAGATAAGTGAGATAGAGTTATGGGTGT